TTTTCAACTTTGGTTCTGCAAATGGACACAGCACAGAGTGCCGAAAATATACCTACAGTATGAAGGTTCGTGCTTTGATAATCAGGGAGCTGTGCAAGTTTAAATTCAGTCCCAATTTAAGCGGACCGATTTAAAGCGAGCGATTTAAACGGTATAGGGAACACTATAGGTTCTATAGGGGGATCTATAGGTTCAATAGGAAACTCTATAGGTTCCAAACTGAACTTTATGAAGCATATAGGATCCTATTGGATTCCTTTAGTTTCCTATAGGATTCCTATGAGATTCCTATAATACATTTTCGTAAGGGTTATTAGTATTAATATGTATTTACCTAACATTAACATTGCAACCTGCGCATATCGTCCATTCAGTGCAAGTGAAAAAAAGGGTGCACTTCGTTTAGCACTTTTCAGAGATTTTCGAGGGGGTGAATATACATGATGACAAGACAAGGGTTGCTCAGAAAGAGGAAAATGACTTTTATTTTCCCATTCATGAAAGCCATTTACTTCTCAATAGAAATTTCCTGTATGTCCATATCCGCACAATATTCCATTCTCAACGAGGTCCGAGTCCTCTCAGTACTCGGACTGAGGACTTTCTTTCAAATAGGCATCTGGAAGTAACGTTCAAGGGCAATGATTAAGGAAACTGATCCATGCAAATGAATGCAAACTTGTACTCATTTTCCTATTTAAAAAAATTGGAGTATATGACGCCACAGGGCCGGAAAAATTATTGATGAAACGCTGCCATGTCACATAGCGTCATAGGGGTTGATAGCAGTACGCGTCGCGCTGCAACCCGTTGTTCATTCTGAGTTGTAAAAAAGTGTCTTTTGTATAAAATTTTATTTCTGCACAACCTATTTTCAAAACATGCTTAAGCATTTGTATGGAAGTCAGAAGTAGATGGAAATTTATCTCCTAGAAATGTGACTGCTCAATCTTGAAAAATGAAAAATTCAAAATTCTGAAAGACAGAGATCTAGGTTTTTCGCGCCTAGCTGTAGCTCCTAAATAGAGAAATTTGGTAATATCCAAGGCATTGGAGTAAGTTTGGTTTAAAACTGCTTTTTATCTATACGTAATTCTCCATATTGAAACGATTGCTCTTTTTTTTTACCTCAGGGAAGAGTACCCTAATCAACGGGATGGTGAATTACGTGTATGGAGTCAAGTATGAAGACAATTTCCGCCTGAAGATGATCATGGATGAAGAAGATAAGAAGTCCCAAGCACACAGTCAGACCAAGTGGATCACGGCATACGTCCTACACAAGCAGCATGGATTCACATTTCCTCATACCTTGACGATCATTGATACCCCAGGATTTGGCGATACTGAAGGCATCAAAGCTGATGAAGAATTAAGGAACCAGATAAGGGAGTTCTTCTCCAATGGAGGCAACATCGGTGTGGATCAGCTTGATGGAATCTGTTTTGTTGTCCAGGCTTCCTTAGCTAGGCTGACACCCACACAAAAGTACATCTTTGATTCCATATTGTCGGTGTTTGGAAGAGATGTTGAAGATAACATCTACGTGCTGACAACATTTTCCGACAGTAAACAGCCGCCTGTCCTGGAAGCCATCAAACAAGCAGAAATCCCCTACCAAACCCTTTTCAAGTTTAATAATTCTGTTCTTTACGCTCGTAATAATGAGGAGGGAGATGATTTCGACAGGACCTACTGGGAAATGGGCACCAAAAGCTTTCAAAGATTCTTCAAAAGGTTTTTGAAGTCGAAACCAGTTAGCCTGACTCTGACAAAGGAAGTGTTGGAGGAACGGCGACGTTTGCAAGCAGCTCTTCAGGGCATCCAACCACAAATAATTGCAGGTAAAATAAGATAAGAGCTGAATATTGAATATAATTTAGGAAACAATATTGTTTCCAAATATTCTGATGTTATTGGAAAAAAAAGACGACGTATGAAAGTGATAATTGGGCTGGCACTTTAAATTAGTTTTTCTTGTGAACGAACAATCATTGATACGAGGGATACAAGTTTTTGTTTCAAAATGAGTTTTTCATAGTTTTTTTCTTCTCAAAGGAACTGGGGAGGTGCATTTTCCGTAAGGGTGCACTGCACAAAATCCTACAAAGCATGTTACTCCATTTTTGGACGCTTGGGTTAATACTTCATATTTTTCGCTGCAGGACAATTTTGACATTTTTACTTGAAACCAGTAATTTACACATTGCTGGTGTTCTTTCTGAATTGAACCTGAAAATCATTTCAATCGAGTCTCTTTGCCAGTGAGTGGAATTTGGAAGTGATATGAAAAGGCTGTTAGTCTCCACGAAGCGAAATTCCCACAAGCCATCGTAAGGCAACAAAGAATTACTCGAGTGCGGTTAGTACAGGCGACTCTGTCAAACAAGCAAACATGAATTGAAAATGCACTCATTATATGGCGCACATAAGGAAACCCTGCAAAATACGACTGGGATTACACATGGTAACCCACCGTTTTCAGCTGCTAAAGTAATGCATGTTGGCGACGAGGTCTTCGGCACTGTTCTCTCCAGTGTGGAAAACGTCATTCCTAAATCGTGCGTAATAACAGAAAATTTGAGTACGTCGGTGACCACAGTGACACCAACTCCGCTTTTCAGTCGTTCTAAAAAGCAAAATGTTATTAGTGTGGTATCTGGAATCTTTCCAAGATTTCGATTTTTTGCATTAATACATAAAGGTTCCTTCTAAATCTTCATCAAACCGATATAATGCATTTGCAAAGGTTTACAGGAGGTCGATGGGAAGAATCGGAGCTACATGAGTCATATTTGTCTCACATCAGAGTATGCACTCTCAAGGCTCCATGCTCCTTAAAAACTTATTTTTGAACATATTGAGATGACGATTTCTGTTACAATAATGTCGATGGTGTGCATGTTGCAGAGTTACGCAATTAGTTCAGTGTTTCAATTTTAAAATGAATGAAAAATAAAGAATAGTCGCATTAAAACCATATGAAGACAACAGTGACTGCGACTACATGACAGCTACATAGGTCATGATCAAAACGGAGGATCCATTCTAGAATGTGTTAATGTATGTCTCCATCCCCGTAGACAATGTGCCGTCCAAGAATTCTTCATCCAATGCATTATTTTGTTTAAGCCTGTAAAAAGGAAAATCCTAAAAGTCTAAGTTGGAAATTGTTCTACATTGGAAAGAGTGTATGTCTTGCTTTAGGTTTGGGGAGGCTGGAACAGCTTAGACAAGAACATGCAGCATTGAAACAACACGAAGCAGAGTTGGAAGCCAACAGGAACTTTATTATCAAAGTCAACGTACAGAAGCAGTCAAAAGTAGATCTTGACCCTGGTGTGTATGTGACGAATTGCCTGACATGCAACTATTCCTGCCACTATCCCTGCACGATCCCAGATGACAAGCTAAAAGACGACTGTTCTGCAATGGGTATCAACATGGAGACCGGAAGAGTAACACATTGTCTTGTCTGTCCCAAAAACTGTCCGCCACATGAACATGTCAACAACCCATACCGTTTTGATTTGTACGAGGAAGAAGAGACGAGGACTGCTGAAGATTTAAAGAAAAAATATGAGAAAGCAGAGGGGAGGAGGTTGAACGCTCAAGGTGTGGTGAAGGCACTCATCAAGGATTTCAACCGGGAAAGAGTAAAAATTCTGGACTTGACGAAGAAAGCACATGCATGTTTGCAGAAACTCGATGAAATAGCATTGAAACCCGATCCCTTGGGCGTTACCGATTACCTTGACCTCTTGATTGAAACCGAGAGAAGGGAGGGAAAGATAGGTCACGTCCAGAGAATAAAATACCTGGAAGACACCCGAGCCAAGGCAGCTTTGTCTGAGAAGCTAAAGAAAGACTTCGACCCATTCGAGGAATATATGAAAGAGTTCGAGGAGGAGGGATTCGACATTTCCCTGTTCGATCCGGATACTGACACCGATGATGATGAAGACGAGCCTTCCGCCGAAAATGTTACAGCTGATGAAGATGAACCTAAGGAACCTCGCGGCGGTATTTTGGATTCGATGTCAAGGTGGCTCGGAGGAAGCAAACCCAAGTTAGTTATGTTGACTACGTTTTTGCTGGATAAACCTATGCTTGGGCCCCCATCAAAAGTTCTGAGATACTGCACAACTATAAAGCCAATTAGGATGACATTCTGCATGAACTCATAACAGTATTACACTAGAGTAATATGATAGTTTTAGCAACATTCGCTGAGTAGTTCTCATGTAGTTGTTTTCCTCTTTCAGAAAGCATGGAACTGTAAAATTAGTATTTTCGTCCGACGATTTCCTGAGACTTCAAAAGAAGGAGCAATCACTCGCCAACTTACAGGCAGGTTTTGGGGACCCAGCTCCTTCATGTGCAATTGTCTTTCGTTCGTTTGCTGAGTTCAAGCGCTGGAGAATGAGCTTTGAAGATGAGCCTCGCTAATTATAGCCACCAACAGAAGTCACCGGAGTCAACATCACCACTGTGGAGAAGCTAATCCAAGTGGATGCGCGAGTCATCTTTGGGTCACCAAACGTTGTGATCGCTGGGTCCCCCAAAACCTGTATGAAGAGCAGAAGGAGGCTACCATCTGATTCCCAACACTCCGAGCGCGTTCGAACTTGACAGGTGGGCTTTCACCAGGGAGCAAAGTGAGGACTGCTGCTTGATCTCTGGGTCAAACTGGTAGATCCAAGTTTCATCGTCAGTTATCAGTTCCCACTCTTGCTTGGGCCGACCTCCGTTGAACTCACGGTGCATGAATTCTCACCAACCCACACGTGCCTCCTTTTGCTCCTTAGAGAGGTTGTAGGGAACCAAACGAGCATAACGTTTGGTGACCTCAAGGTGGTTGTGCCGAATGGCGGTAACTGCTGCCGATTCAATGCCTAAGGTCTCCCTCAAGGTTTCATAGGTGACTTGGGCATCAACTTGGATTAGCTTCTCTGCAGTTGTTATGCTGGCAGGGGTGACGAATATTGGTGACCGTCCTGAGCGGGGCTCATCTTCAAAGCTCATTCTCCCGCAATTGAACTCGGCAAGTGAACGAAACACAGTTCCACATGAAGAAGATTGGTGCCCAAAAGCTGTCTGTAAGTTGGTGAGAGATTGCTCCTACTATAGGCCCCTCTTCAAGTCACAGAAAATCATCGGTCGAAAATCGAGTTTAACAGTTCCATGCTTTCTGAAATATGAGTATGACTTAGTGAATATTACTCAAACTACTCACTTGCTCCAATGTAATACTGATATAATAATAATATCTAGCTGTCACTCATTAAGTCTTGCGTCTGATTGGGGCTAATGGAATTCAGTCATAATCAATGAGGCCTTTCGCGGGATTTTTTGAACAGCCAAATTTATGGGCTCTTTTAAAGGGTGCGTTCCTTCCCCCCCTTCAACCGGGAAAGAGTAAAAATTCTGGACTTGACGAAGAAAGCACATGCATGTTTGCAGAAACTCGATGAAATAGCATTGAAACCCGATCCCTTGGGCGTACCCCCCCCCCCCCCCCCTCAAAGAAAATGTATTGAATATAATAATAATAATAATAATAATAATAATAATAATAAAACAATAATAATTTTCCACTATTCTAATTTTCAGGAAATTCTATCCCATAGTATTCAAATGAGACGCACCATAAGAACTTGGAACTCCTTGGTATTAGATGGAGAATGTGAGATTATTCAGGCATCAGAGGCCCCTAATGACTTTTGGGCAAATAATAAGGGATCCGTTCCGATTTCAGGGAACACCCCTACCCCAATTCCTGTAAATAATCTTTTTTTTAACGAGAACCCTCTTATCATCCTAGTTAGATTCCTTGACTCACTTGAATGCTGATTTTGAGCTCTCAGGGGATGGGGGTCAGCTCTATTGGGCAGACCCTTCCGGCGGATCGGGAGGGTAGCTCGGTTGGATATCAAGTTTCATGTTGGGCGCTAACGAATACTGCTGCTGGCAATAAGGACGGCTTGTTCCGTCAGCTCGCGACGCGATCACGTCATTAAATGACGTCACTCTTGGGCAAGTATCTGCCAGTGAAACGTAGTGAACTATGAGAACACTGAACAGGTCCGCACCAACGTGAGGTCATGTGACGTCAGTTGGAAGCGTCACCTGAGCCGCTCACAAAAAAACGAACACCGTGATCCTGAGCTGTGAAGTTTAAATGCTTTAACAGATTGCAGGCCGGCCTGATCGACCCGACACGTTCCGTGGGTAGGGTGCACAAAGCACAAAGGTAGGACCACGATTCGGATCGGGGCCGATAGTTTCGGTTTCAAAAACGTCTACCCATACAGGTCTCCAGCGGACGGACAGAAGGACGTCGGCTATTATTATACAGGGTGTCCCATAAGTCACTATATCATTTCGAACTGCAATATTTCCCAAACTGCTTAAAGTATGTCAATGGTGTTTGCATTGATGGAAGAAAAGTTCTTTATAATTTTTCGCAATAATGACTTTTAATTAGATTTAAACGGAATTTTTTTTTAAATAATAGTAAGGAAAATAATACTTGTTTAAGGAAAATAAGGGGAGTTTTCTTTATTCTCATTTTAAAAATAGCTTAACTTTGCGCCCATATTTCTAGCTTAAGGTAGATTTGAGAAATTGAAAGGACTTCCTTTAATTTACACCCACTTTTATGAGAAGTGGCATGGCAATTGACACTAGAGCAACGAAGAAAGGTCGCCCTTTAGATGGAATTTTTTTAGAGTTCCATCCGAGTTCAGAGGGAGTTTCGTCGGTTTCTTGACACCGAACCTCCCTCGAAGTCTTCCATTTACGCTATTCACATGAGGTTTGTTGAAACTGACAGTGTTTGTGACAAGCCACGAGCTGATAGACCCCGCAGCGAAAGGGGAGGAGAAACCGAAATTGCTGTTGGAGCAAACTTTTCCTCGAGTCCCATGAAATCAATAAAAAAAAATTACTAGCTGAGTTTGGGATACCGAAGTCCACTCTACAGAGAATCCTTCGTTGTGACCTCGGATGGAAGCCATATTGTCTTCTGATTCTTCATGAATTGATTCCTGATGCATATGATCTAAGAATTGAGATATGTGAGATCCTCCTCATCAATGATGAAGTGGACCCAACATTTCTGGTAAATTTATGGATGTCAGATGAGGCTACATTTCGCGTCTCGGGTCAGGTGAATCTTCACAACTGCCAAATTTAGTCCTCTGAAAATCCTAAAGCATGTTGTGAACACAAAAGAGACGCTCCCAAAGTCAACATGTGGGCAGCTATATCTTCAATGGGCATCGCAGGACCTTTTTTCTTCCAAGACCAAGCCGATGCAACCATAAATGTGACGGCTGATACATATCTGGAGATGCTGGAAAATGGCTATGAACCAGAACTACGCCGGAGAGGCCTTGCTGGTCGGGCTTTCTTCCAGTATGATGGAGCACCTGCCCACTTTGGACTGCGAGATCGAACATTCCTGGATTGGGCGTTTCCTGAAAGATAGATTGGGCGAAGGGGTTCAATAATATGGACTGCAAGATCTACCGACCTGACACCATGATACTTTTTTTTTTTTGGGGGGGGGGGCTATCTGAAAGATCGAGTCTTCACAACAAAGCCTAGAGATGTCAGAGACTTGGAGGACCGCATTAGAGTAGAAATGGCAGCAATTCCTCAGAATATGTTACAGAAGGCCTTCGTTCGCACTTTACAACGTTGGGCTAAATGCATTGATATACGCATCAGTCATGTTGAAGCACTTCCAACGCTCAAAAATTAATGTTTTTTGCGAAGGTAATTCCAAATAGTGTGTTAACGTTCGATAAATCTCACTTCTTCATTATGCCAACTATCAAATAGGTACACATTTTTTTAAATGGCGTAGTGACTTATGGGACACCCTGTATAGACTAGCGGCCTATGGCCGCAATTTCTCTCTTCTACCCCAAGAGCCTAAACTTAGAAAGAGCCTAATTACAAAAGCTAGTTCGACATGGCTAAATTAGGCACATATTGTTAGAACCTGGGATTATGAAGAAACGCGCCACACATGAAGTTTATTTCATATTTAGCAAACAATAGTCCGGAATAATGCATTTCACAAAGAAGCACTTCATACGCCGCGTCGTCGGAAACGATGCCAGCTTCCGTTCGGCCTTCCTTCAGTCACTCGATAATCTGAATCTTCGCCAAGTCCTCAGAGCAAGTTCGCGAACGGTGAATGCACAATCGTTCATGCGTGAATAGCGACTCCTGAAGTTGTAGTTCGACTGTATAAAATCTCCGTCTCTGAGACTTGTTTATAGTCATTCCATAGGTAAACTCGATAGGAAATAAACGTCGACAATGTTCAAATGGTATGATAACGCCGGATTACGTGTCCAGTGAAACTCTTGGCATGAAATGAATTCTGCCACGAAGCACAGCGATAATCGCCTCGACGTATATGACAACACGGATGACGGATGGGTTCGAAAAGAACACCGTACCATGATCATAACAACACATGCGCATATGTTTCCCTTCTCCCGCTTCGAAATGAACAGCCGAGCAGTGCTCAACAGAGCACACATTTATTGGGCCGAGACCATGCAAAACGACTGGAATAACGTCGGGAGTCCCTGTCAACGTAGCTCCATGAGTTAGTGGTTCGACGCGTACGCGCGCTGCTCTCCGCGCAGCGTAAACAACCTTGTCTTGTTTCGCAGGTAACACAGCCCAACGCTTCCTCCATTCAGCTATTCTCTTGGTATTAACATCCTAAAGTTACTGATTGGTCAATGCAGACCTACTCTACCTCGCTGCGTCTCCTCCGCGGGCATGTCGCATCGCATTGCATGAATACTTGGCTATATCCCTTACGAAAATGTCTTATAGGATTCCTATATATTCCTTTAGGAATTTATAGGAATCCTATAGGAATCCTATAGGATCCTATAGGAATCCTATAGGATCCTATATGCCCTATAGAGTTCAGTTTGGGACCTATAGAGTCCCCTATAGAACCTATAGAGTCCCCTATTGAACCTATTGAGTTCCCTATAGAACGTATAGATCCCCTTTTGAACCTATAGGGTTCCTCATAGAACCAATAGGGTTCCCCATAAAGCCTATAGGTTCTCCATAAAGCCTATAGGTTCCCTATAGGACCCAAATGGTTCTGTATAGGACCCGTAGGATTCCCTATAAAACCTATAGGATTCCCTATAGGACCAATAGGATTCTCCATAGGACTCATAGGATTCTCTATAGGTCCTATAGGATACCCTATAGGGCTATAGGGTTCCGTTTGAAGTCCTCCTCTAGGCCACTGGATGGAAGTATTGGGTTGTCACATTTCTCAAGGGGCACAAAAGTGCCCTCCCCTTACCAATGGAATTATCTCTCACAAGAGTGTTTTGTATGTCCCCTAATGTCTCGCCTTGCCTCATTGTAGCAATCAATTAACTTTGACAGTT